CTGGTAGTCCACTCTATCGTTGGAGGTCTGTTGTATGACAAATGTCCGAAAAAGTCATATGACAACTATAAACCCATACTCCTTGAGGCACTAAAGCCAAAACTTGAAAACTCCGCCCTGCTGCCCACCGACCCAGGCACAGGCCCGAGTCCATAACCAATGTCAAACAAAATGCCATTATAAATTCGGTACTTTCCACAGATCTGTGTTGGGTATCCGAGGGTCTCCTTCACATTTGTCTACAAAAACTCGACCTTCACAAAATTTTTGGTATTTTATTTAACTATTACATTTTTCAAATTTCGCCTGTAATTTTTTTTTTTTTATTCGTGCAACATAAATTAAAATGCCGAACTATATGCGTTCCAATAATGAAGAAAAAATGTTTTATAAGTACCTTGAAAATTTAAAAAAGCGGGTAAGTGGATGTCGCTCTGCTGTACAGTATCCAGTAGGTAATTGTTCGGAACGTTCACTAAACAATTAAATTCGTTCAAGTTCACGTTCAGTGCTTAAAAAAGTAACTAGTTCAAGTTCAAATTCATATTTTTTTTTCAAATTGAACTCGTTCACTTTTACAAACTAAGGCTACGTAATTTATTTTATTTTATTTTTATGTCTTGTTTAAATATGAAGACAAAATCTTGGAAAACTTAATATTATTGATGTTTTGTGTCCAGGCGTGCCCACTGGAATTCCATGTATTTTATTTTTATAATTCGTAATATATTATATACCATAATAGTATTATCAATCAATATTTATTAAACAATAAATACATTTAACTACGCTTAACACAAAATAATATGTTACGTATCTCTTTCAATAAAATCTGTTTATTTCATGTTTATTTTATGTCTATATTCAGAAATGTATGTTTTACCAGTAAAAAACTTTTTTAAAAAGCAGCTGTCATATTCATGGTTAAAAATAACATAACAAAAACACCAAACTATGCTTTTAACACGATATATAAAACCAAAAATATTATCATTCCCAGAATGTATAAAACCATCTCACAATCGTCACACTCATTTGTTGGACCATTTATACACAACAAACTTCCTCAAATGCTACTTGGTGAAAATCTCAACATTTTTAAATTTAAACTACAAATGCAACAAATTGGAGACCTAATAAAAATAATTTATTAACATGTCACAGTGTTATTCTATATATTAATAATTGTTATCCCCTATCTATTTTCTTAGAAGATTACTTTTTGTATTTTGTATTTTTTGTTTGTTTGTTTTTTTTTATATGATCTTTTAAATATTATTTAATATGAATACCCTTTAGCTAGTAATTAACTTATACAGTTATACTATAAGAAAAGAATGTTAAAAATTGTAAGATAAGTCCTCATTGGACCCGATCTATCATGCTTAGTAGGGCTCATTATTCTTTGAAATAAACTAAAAAAACGCTAATAAAAATAAACCTTGCGGTACACCAAAATTTACTTTAGTTAGTTGAATATGTGGATTATCAATTCTAGTACTATGAAACCTATAGTAAAGGTATGATCTAAAATTTAGATTCTAAATAGACTACTTAATACTTATATTAGCTTATCTTTACTTATCTTATATTAGCATATTCTAATTTATTAATGAAAATTGAATGATTCAGAGTCAAATGCCTGTCTTTAACTAAAAAAAACTAATAATAGTTTTATTGCAATCTAAAAATTAACTTATATTATCAGTAACTGTAACAAGTGCATCATTTGTTGATTTATTTTTCATAAACCAAATTGATTTCTTGAAAAATTATTTTATATTTAAAAAATGTACAACTCTATCTTTGATACATTTTTCAAGTAATTTAAATATAACCTAAATGGAATATGGCAGTAATTATTGCAATATTTTTGTCTCTCCTCCTTTATGTATTGAAAATTGAAATTAATAGTGATTTTTTTAAAAATGTAGAATAAACTCATGTAGTTACTGCATGATTAAAAATGATACTAAGTGGAACTGCAATCAGATAGGAAATTGTTTTTAAAATTTACTTTGTAAACAAAAAGTACTATAGTTTTTTAATGAACTAATACATTTAAAAATCTCTTCAGATTTAATAGGTTGAATAAATATGGAATCACCAACCTAATTTATAAAAAAAAAAATCATTGATATCCTTAGAAATATAATTATTACCCAATTTGAAAAAAATCATTTAGAACCTTTATTTATTAATTAATAAATAAATATATAAATAAATATATTTATCAATGATTTATCAAGATGTCGGAATGTTGATATTTCGACTATTAACAAATAATTATTAATCAATTTTAATAATTATTAATAAATAATAATACAATTATTTGGTTAAATTATGATTCAAAACAAATCAAATAATTGTGTTTTAAACTGGTATATTTCTATAGAAACTTAGTTAGTTTGAACTTGACCACATTTAAAAAAATTGCGTTCTAGGGATTTATGAAGTCTCCTTTTAGATTTAAATTGCGTTTCTAAACAATTGTTGTCGAATACAGTATATATTTTTTAACTTTTGCAAAAGTTTCACTTAGTCCATTGAAGAAAAATTATCGAAAAATGATAGGCTGAGCTACCAATTTGTGTTCAAATAATCGACATTTAGTGACCGTTGTAGTCTTGTGCGCGTCTTGTTTTACACCGTGTCAACTGTCAAAATGAATTTTGAAATTGTTTATAGTGAACGAAAAAATCAATTAATCTTATATGAAAATTTTAAATTTTATAACAAAGCTTATGATAAATACTTAGACGCTAATAAATCGCAATGTGTCAATAAAAAGTGCACCGAATTCAAAAATACAAACTGATTCGTATATAATAAGAGGACTAAACAACAATAAAATAAGTAAAAATAAAAATTACCAAAAAAAAAATATATAACAAACATTTTTGACGATTATATAAATAAAAAAAATTGATAGATTTACTTATATAAAACTAGCATCAAACTACTATTTAAAAAAATGACCACTTTGTATATATTTGTATTGTTTAATTTTTTTTTACCTTACCATAATACGGAATTATTATTATTAATTAATTATTTAAAAATATGACGATCTTACTTCATTTTGTAAAACTAGATATGGGTACTAGATATATGAGTTATATTATTTTATTATTTTGATATATTATTATCCGTTATGGACGACAATGTTTGAATTATTTTTATTCAAATAAAACTTAATTTATACTATTATGGAAAACTAAGTGTACCCTAACCTATACTGTTAATTATTTTAAAAATTGACCACATTATATTATATAACTCTATTTAAAAATATTACGATCTTACTTCATTTTTAAAAATAATAATCACTAGATAATTGAGTTATATTATTTTATTATTTTAATAAATATTATCCGTTATGGACGACAATGTTTTTATTTAAATAAAACTTACTTTATACTAAGTGTAGGTACCCTAAACTATGCTGTTAATTAAAAAAATAATTCTGTATAATATGATACTTTGGTTATTGTTTAATAAACAGTCGGCGGAATCAACATAAATAATAATAACTGGCGGAATTGATATTAAAAAGGCGGAGTCGATAAAACCCCCTGAAATGGTTTCACCAGATGTATTTAAAAAAATGATGCATTCATTGTTTTTCTCATTGTCATTTGATCATACTTTAATTAAGTCAATGTATATTGTATAACAAAGTTTTGAAATTCTAAAATATTGTAAAATAAAAATTAGTTTGCAAATAATATTATAATGTTAGTTGTTACAATATTATTTGTACTAAATCAGTGTTTCCCAACCTTTTTACTTCCACGAACCACTTTGACAATATTTTATAGGTCGCGGACCACCTCAATTTTACGCAAACTAGGAAGACTTTTTTTTTTTTGCTCATTAACAAGAATACACAAAAATTTATTGGAAAATTTTTTTTATCTTACTGTACTATTATATATAATTATTAAACTTTACTAATAATTTACTTAGTGTGATTTTTGTATACGATAAGATAACCGTATATTACGGTAAAATAAAATATTTTTCGCTGTTTAAAAAAAAAAAATAATTTTTAATAGAAAACTAAGAAAGGTACCGCGGACCACCTTTGACTGGCCCACGGACCACGGGTGGTCCGCGGACCACCGGTTGGGAAACACTGTACTAAATATTTTAAAAATAATGGATTAACCGCGTGCATAGGCATACAAAATAACTTAACAATCAATTATACAATACCTACATTTGAAGTTTAGTGGCTATATAATACATATATGCAATGATTGCTAAGTAGTAAGTACATATTACAACTGTAATATAATATACCTATTATAGAGTGTATTTAAGTGTTATTATTGTTGCTGTAGAAAATTGCAGAACTTTCGAAGAGATGTTAGTGCCTTGTCGTAGTCGGTCTAGATTGAAGTCACCAGAAGTTATAGTTTCAGCTATAATTTTTGCAGTTGGTGTTTTGACAACAACATTGAACTGTATATGAAAAAAAAATTATTGCACAATATTTTTTAGTACCAACGAGTAACCACGAGGTAATGATATTTGGCTCGATTTTTAACCTTGTAAAATGTTACAGTGTGTAAGCTTTGTGTTGTAAGCGAATATAAATCGCCACGATGGGTCATCAGTCATCACTCATCACCAATGGAGAGATGAAGGAGCCGCCGCCGCCTCCAGCTCAGACGACAATGACGGCGACGTGGACCATGACTAGCGTGGAGGCCACTATATTTTCTCCACGTTGCGAATTATTTTGAATTATTAAATGAAAAATAAAATTTTGAATTTCAAACAAAATGGTAATATTTGTAATGTTTATTATTACTTAATTTTTGAGCTATATTTTAGCCGAAAATATTAAATCCGCGGCAGCGCCGGAGGTGAGGAACACGTTGGCGGCGTCTCTTTCTCTGGTGCTGCTGTTCACCGCAGCTTACGAATGGAACTGATGAGCGGATCGTTTTCGGCCCGGAAAAACTAAAAACACACACGGACACGGACGATTATTAATCTCGGTAAACGCAAATGGCGGTCCTGCTCTGACTGCGGCGGCGGCGGGGCTTGGCTATCATTGTCAGTTGGGAACAACCACCACAGTCCCATCGGCCTCGCTCCATCGGACGGCTAGACACCGCGACACCCGACACCGTGGCGTCGACATGCGAACAGTTCGACTTTGGTAGAACTGCGGACCGCGTTATCCCGAGTCGTCGTCGACGGGGACCTCCCTCACCAACATCCATAATGCCGAGGATATAGATACAGCAAAAACTACAACAAAGAACCTCGCACGCGTTATATTGTACAAATAATTATACCTAATAATGTTAAATTATTCCAAATCATATAAATAAGAAAAAATTAGTTACAATAACTAAATAAATTAAAATTTTCGGTTTTCCAAAAAATAGATTTTGGTTTTTGGTGTAACTCTAAAACAAATGAACGTATATACATGAAATTTTCACTGGTTGTTTATATTTGCATTTTCTATACACAATAACATTTTCAAAATATTTTGATTTATTTTGAACTGTTAAGGGACATTTTCATTTTCCATTTTTTTTATATTTTTTTTTTCTAGAAATATCAATAAAATTTTATTTGTTGGTTAAAAAGCTTGAAAATTTAAGAGAAGGCTCCTAGGATATTGTTTCAAAGGCAGATGAAAAATATTAAAATTCCTTAGTCCCAGTTTTATTTTATAAGCATTTAAAGTTCAAAAATTGACAAAATATGGAAAAATCACGAAAATTAGCAAATTATTTTGAGTTAAGAATTCGTACAAATTTTTCTTTTTAATTCTAAGATTTGAAAATGTAATACAAGATTCCTTATAAAATTATCTACCTTTATCAAACAAAAAATGTCTATAAGAAAGTCAAATTAAATTTTTATGAGCGTTTGAAATTCAAATTTTTACAACATTGGATATTCACTCGATTTCTCATGTAGCGATTTCCTTATTTTGTTGTAATTCAAAAACGAATAACTGTAGATACATGAAAATTTCACTGAATGTTTAAATTAGCATTTCTTATACACTGTACAATTTTGAAAATATTTTGGCTGTTTACGGACATTTTCAGTTTTCAACTATTTTAGTTTTTTTTTCTATAAATATCAATAAAGTTTTATCTGTTTTGCCAAAAAGTGTAAAAATTTAATACAAGGCTCCTGATATATTGTTACAATATTAGTTCAAAAACATTGAAAATACATATGCACAATTTTTTTTTATAAGCATTTAAAGTTGGAATTTTGACAAAATTTATCAAAATCTAGAAAAATTATCAATCATTGTAATTAATAAATTATAAAATTTTCAGTTTTTATAGCTAAGGATTGCAAATTTAAAACAAAGGTTCTCATAAATAGGTCATACTGTAATCAAAAAATCTAAAAAATATATGAACACAGTTATTTTTTACAGACATTTTAAATTCAAATTTCGACGAAATTACATATTAAAAAACCTAGAATAACTATTTTAGTTAATTTGTTGTGATTGAATAATATTGTTCGTGGGTACTTGAAACTTCTAAAGTGTACTATTATACATCTATGATAGTATCACGGTTTTTGTTAATGTAAAACGCGTTATAAGTACCTAATGGATATTGTGATATGATTAATTTGGAATTTATTATAGGTACCTATTATAGGTCAATTTTTTTGTTTAATACCTATCATAGATATGTATATAATATGTCTTATACCTAGACTGACACACCGTCTCCGCTCAGAATCGTTTTTCTTATACAATAATATTATATCGTTGAATTCAAATTTAATATCATCCATTATACAGTGACCCACTTGTAACCTACTGTACAGCAGAGCGACACCCACTTGCCCACCTTTTTGTAGTTGATGTTGATTGCATATTAATTATTTTATCAAATTGAATGTCTTCTTCCGTACACGCATTTATTTCCATTGTTCCATGCAAGGGCGTCAGCAGGAATTTATCAAGGGGAGGGTAAAATATTTTCCTTTTTACATTTTTTGTCTCACTATCCTATTAGTTATAAAGTATTTCTGTTACATATTTTCTTTCATATGGATAAAGAATGTAAAAATATTTATGAATTATATGTAGGTACATACTTAGTTAAAACTTAATCTTGCAGCATTAATTTTAACTAATTGTTATGCAACTTTAAATCATCAATAATACATTTTTTTTTTAATAAATAAAATATTATCATTGGTTTTATAATTTTAGATAATTTATAAAATTAAATATTTCTAGCTTATTCATTCATTGATACCACAAACTTGAAAAGTTATAGCTATTGTATGCCATCTATGAACATTTAATATTTTATCAAAAAAGTAAAAACTTGGTTGACACTGCAGTATTGCACTTGGTTACACCATTACATCTCATAATTTATAAAAGCAACGTTCTTAGTTCTTACTCTGATTCAGGTGTAATAAAAATCAATCTGTAAAAAAAAAAAAAATGTTTTTATTTTTAATTTAAAAAAAGTTTATTTTGCGATATTTTATATTACAACGGTAATGATTAAGGTTGGGATTATAATGCATATCGCAGTTTTCATTGTTTTTCAAATCTACGCGATTCTCTATTTATAACATACCTACATTGGATTTTTTGACGATTTTAAATTTAAGGTAATTTTTGCATTTAAATATTTTTAGAGCATTTTAAATTTTTTCTTAATTTAAAATATTATTTTAAAATTTGTACATGTCTTTATATGATTTTTTAATAAATATATGATCTAAAGTCTAAACCTATAGGTACAGAAAAAAAATTAATTTTTAGATTAAATAAGTAGTCTAAATGATAAGTTCTGTCTGTTAAACTTTTCTAAAATACTTAAAATGTATATTAGCATTTATTTAAAATAAAAATGATGCTTTAAAATTCTAGACATTTCAGAACATTAAAATCATCAATAATAATATATGATAATCAACCCAGAAAAAGCCAAGGGACGGGCAACTGCCACTACTTGCCCCCCCTGCGGACTATGTATATAGTTTATTAATAAAATCTAACTTTTGCCAAATATTCCTACTTTTAGATATTTTACTTTTGAACATGGTAAAGTAATATACATATTATATCAACAGACCAAAACACTTCTAAACAATACCTAATAATAATAAAACAATTAATTTATATGTGCATAGTAGTAATAATAGTATAATACATATGTTTAAAATCAAATCCATAAACAACCTCTAAATGATTGATATAGATAACTTTACATATTGATTTAGTTTAGTTTCAAGAAAATGGGTTTGATCTGTATAGAATTAATAATTAAAAAGATGGGCAAGTGGGTGTCTTCCCACGTCGCCGAAACCCAATTTGCTGAATCCCACTTCTCCGACATCCCAGTTTGCCGACTTTCAATTCACCGACACCCTAGTTCGCTGACTATTTATTTGCATTTTCTCAATTTGCCGAAAACAATTCGCTGACAACCAGTTCGTCTAATATAAAAAAAAAATATTGGATATAATAATTTATAATATATATAATATAGTATTTAAAAAAAATATAAAAGTCAGTATAAATTGTTCAATTGTTCATGTACCTATAAATAATCTAAAAAAAATATAAGTACATTATATTATATATTTGGTATATTATATTAAAAGTCAATATAACTTAAAAAAAATATTGTATATATATATGATATTATATTGTGTATGTGTACTCCAATAATGAAATTTCTTCTGATTGCAATCTAAATAAAATAAAAATTACTTATTATCAATTCAACTTGTAAAAATTAATCATTTTATAATATTCACCTATCTTTTGCATTTGTCAATCTTTCTTTAAGTTTCCAAAATTTCATTTTAACGAACGGTTTTGGTTTGTCATTTTTTTGAGCTACAATGTCGAGTTAAAAATGTTGTTGTTGATTTTTTAATTCGTTTATGCGCACAAATGAGCTTTTTATACAAGTGAATATTTGAATAGCATCTACAATTTCAGAACTAGTAGTACCTTGTATTCCTGAAGTTATTACAGATCTCCTTATTTCATTAAATGCTTTAGGTAGGTACTGGTTTTGTTGGATTTTCCGAAAGTTCCTCCTCCGTTAATCATAGTTTCAAAAAAACGAACATTACCTATATTATTTTAATTTCATATTTTATTACTTTATAGCTCAGAAATTAATAAATATGCATGCACTTATGCACTTATAATACCTGGTACAAATATCCTTTAAAATGAATATTTATATTTTTATATTTTATTATTTGTACTAAATATTTATTAATAAAAACCGGAAATCGTATGCCAATTTGTCAACTAAATGGTAATTTATAAATATATTTTTATTTTTTTCTTACTTTCAATTTATTTCGAAAACCACGATTAGTTAATACGTTGAGTGCCTCGTAGTATTTGGCGCGCGTTACCCGAGAATCCGAGCGAAATCGAATTACGTCGGTCGACTATGTGTCGACGTCGGCCCCCAGAGCAATACCTACAGTGGTTTTTTGTATTTTTTAATTTTTCTTCATTTTAAATAGTGGTGGGGTTAGGTGGGGTATGTGAGTCGCGAAAAAAAAAAGTTCAACTTGTTTTATTTTTTTCAAGCTTAAATTATAGGTTTATAATTTCGGTAAAAGTATCATATTTTTCAATAAGTTATAGTATATTCATATTTTATATCAGAAATGCATTTGATTTAAAATTAGATTTTTAAAAATATATTTTTTTAAATTTGTCAAATGACGCACTTCCCCCATTACTTGGCTGCTTTGACCTGACTAAGAATTTTTAATATTTTTCATCTGCCTTTGAAACAATATACTAGGATTCTCCTATTAAATGTTCAAGTATTTTTACTCAATAAATAAAATTTTATTGATATTCATAAAAAAAAACTAATAAAATTGGAAACTGAAAATGTTCAAAATAAATCAAAATATTTTGAAAATCAGAATATAAACATTCAAACAAAATTTCATGTATCTACGGTCATTGGTTTTAAAGTTCCACCAAAAATCAAAATCAATTTTGCGTAAAAATTCCAGTTTTTCCTTATAAATTATGCCAATTTGTCTATTTTATATTTTTGAAAAATTATGGTAAATATATTGTATAAACATTTTAACAACTTAAAAACAACTCATTCTACTTTTGAATTAGGTACATTAAAATTTGAAACAATTATGCACAAAATAATTTACATTAAAAAGTCGATTCAAATTTTAAAAACAAATTTTGTTCCATATGCAATGT